GTTCCTATCATTCTTAGTCTTCAATTACTATATTTATACGAAGAGTTCATGGTATAGAAAGCTGATTGCATTTTTCAAAAAGAACTTAAAACTCAATGAAACACTGAAAACATTCTATATAGTTTAACAGAGATCCAAATTTATAATATGTGTGCTGCTTTATAGTTACTATCTAAGTTACACATAAACCTTCTCGCATTAAATGGTTTACGTTTAAATGAAAATTCTACTTGGTTAAATCTATCGTCATATTACATAATCGTAATATTATGAAAGCCATTTAAAGCTCTTTTTCTCAATGTCTCTTGCAGCTCACTAATTCCTCCTCTTTTCTTTCCCCTCACCACCTCCTCTTCATTTTTTAAAATCTAGTTATAACCAAATCTTGGAATGAAAAAATTTGGTAATAAGGCCATACTTAAAAAACTACACATGAGATTTGATTCTCAATTAATCTAAAAGTCACTTTACTGTGGTACTCATAAACCTAAAACTAAAACCTGCTCAGCTAGTATGGGCTAACCACCCTTCTTCCAAAATGCTTGGCACCAAAAGTACTCTAAGTTTTTTGCTTACAAGTGATATTTGCATAAACATGAGATATCTTATGGACAGATCCCAAGACTAAATATGAAATTTATTTGTTTCATGTATCACAGCCTGAAGGTAATTTTATACAATATTGCTAATAGCTATGTACATATAACAAAATTTCCTAGTGTAGAATTTACCATTTGTAGCAGATATCGCTGCACAAAAACTTTCATATTCTCAAGTTAGGAAAGCTCAACCTTTAGCCAGATCACTAGATCTACCTTTGAAACAACAGAAAAGATTTAGAGGTAGAGACCCAGAGAGGCAATGTCCACACCCGACAAGCAGACAGCCTAGAGCCCTTGCTAGCTAAGACACAACCCCTGGTGCCTGGGAGTCTAAATGATGCAACAGGAGTCCTGAACAAAATAGCACAGACCACCTCAGCCCCTACCTCAGTCACAGCAAGTTCTAACAGAATGGTCCACGTGCCAGGAAAAGTGGGTTGCCATTTTTCTAATAAATCTTATTTAAGTAAACAGTGTCCTCAAGATGAAGGGGAAGAAAAAAATATATATCTATATGTATTATATATCTATACAATATAGATATATATAACAGGAAAGCTAAGATATCATATTTTCAACCAGGAACACAAAAAACTAGAATTGAAAGATTAACCTGAAGGTAAGCAGAAGCAGTCAGTGGGGAAAGAGTCAACGCAGTAACTGCTATGATAGCGCTCCAGGGCAAGGTCAGTCTACTCCCTGCCTTGGTTCCTGCTGCTTTCCAGCAAGTCCTTCCTTCTCTCAAGGTGATTTGAATCTCTGCTCTGCGAGTCCAACTGAGCTGATTATTACAATTACTGCCAAGTATTTTCCTCTTTATTGAGTAATTCTGATTACTCAGTACCAGTTTCTAGAATGGATATAAGCCTCCCTTTCCTGTGATGCAGAACCCAGGTTTATATGAAGCTGGTAAGGCCCAATCAGTCCCCTCCTTCCTCAAAATACATATTCACACCCTCTTGCTGCCAGCAGGCTCCCCGCACCTTCTCACACTAGCCCTGTGTGCTTTCAAGCTTTCCCTTTCCTACACACACTTTCACACTCTCTCCTACACTCACCCACACAAAAAGGAGAGATGACTATGCACAAGTGTTTCCAGTACTTTCTTGTCACTGAGACCCAATACCCAACACCCACAACTTAAAGAAAAGAGGTTTCCTTTGGTTCACAGTTTTAGAGGGTCCAGTCCCTCATGCAAGGTATGGCAGTGGCAGCAGAAATCACGGGATCTGGATCGGGAGGGAGACAGACCTGCCCAGGACCCACCACAGCCTCTGGCGAGGCTTCACCTCACAAACCACACTTGTGTAGCTATAAACTCATCAGTGGAGGAATCCATGAGAACCACACCCCGATGATCCCATCACCTCCACAAAGTCCCACCTATGTGCGCATGAGGCTTTGGGGGAACACCTAGATATAATCTGCAACAGAAAGGAATCTAAATATTCACTCCACTGGCTTTAATGGCTTGTTCAACACTGTACCAGGCTCCAGGTATGCCATCAAAATCTTCCCCATGGCTTTCATATTAGAGGTCAAACTGCCAGCAGTACAGAGCAACACAGAAAGCACAGTCCTAAAGACACACTACTTGAGCCACACCACCCTTAGTACTCAGGACCAAATCATTCTGAGTTCACAGCTCAAATTCTGAAGGAGTGCTAGTATATTCTTTTGGAAACCTAAGTCAGAAATTTGGGGAAGAACAAGTGTTATGGTTTTTACCTAGATGTACCCCAAAGCCTCATGCCCTCATAGGTGGGACTTTTCTCAGGTGGCGATCTAGGGTTTGTGTTGCTGGGATCAAGGAAGAGATGCTGGCTGGGACTGATTCTCGGTGAGGCTAGGATTAAGGGCTACCTGGCTTTAAGGTAAAACGTGAGACAAAAACAGCTACGATCTCTCTTACCACTGGTCACTTTTCTGCTTTGCTACCTTTCCAGAAGAGAAAACCAAGTGTTTCTCTTCTGCGATACCTCTCTGTCCCAGAGCCAGCCAATTACAGACTGAAACCTCTACAAATTGTGAGCCTCAATAAACTTTTCTTCCTTTAACTTTGGGTGTTAGGTATTTTGTCTCAACAACAACAAAACTAAGATACCAAGGAACTCCTCATGTCTCTACCTAGCTCCAGCAGCACAGTAGGATGAACAACCATCCCACTATGCTAACTTTTTTTCCTAATCTTATAAACATAAAGTGAATAGTTAAAATCAAATTTTAAATCCGAAATCTAAAGATTAACTTGTATCTTAAAAACTGTTATTTTAATTATAATTGACTCTTATCCTTCTCAAAGATCCCCTGGAAACTGAAAAAAACAAACAAACAAACAAACAAAAAAAAAGGAACAGATCAGTCACTGTTCCAAATTAAAAATTTAAAAGCTCACAACATATTTTCCCAGTTAAACGGAATTTTCTGATCGGAGTCAAACACACACATTCAATAGCACTTCTAGCAATTAAATTTATACTTGCTTTATTTACAGTCTGTCTCTTTCCACTAGACACGATGAAAGCAAAAACCAGACTGGTTGAGTTTACAGTATACAGCATGGTGCTACAATTTCTCATAGAATGCACATAAGGTACCTATGTATGCACTTGCTCTATAATCATTATCATTTCTCACTTAGTACTCATTATCAAGAAAGCACTGTACTAGGTACCAAGTAGGTGGAAAGATTAGATATGAGCTCAGTCCTCAAACTTGGTTGGCCTCTGTTTGTCCAAAGACCTTTTCTAATTTCTGGTGAAAATATGGGTACTCTACCTGGGAAAAAAATGCAAGAAAATACAGAAGACTCTGCATTATATTTCAAGGGGTATCTAAGATAAAAATTCCACACATAAGACGGTGCACATTTAAAAAATATTATGTTTGCTTTTTTTTTTTTTTTTTAATAAATTTTTTAAATGTATTTAATACAGTGTCTCACTATGCAGATCAGACTTGTAGGGATCCTTCTGTTTTTAGCCTCCCACGCACTGGGATTACAGGCATGTTACACCACACCAAGTCTCAATCTGAGCCTGTTCTGGAGGCAGAGCCAGCACAGCACACCAGGGATCAATCCCCGGCCTCTGTGTCTGCCTAAGCAGGTGGTTTATTCTGCTGAGCTATCTGGCGGGCCCTGTGTTTGCTTTTTTTTTCTCAGCGTTCCACTGTAGAGTTCAGGCTGGCCTCAAACTAGAACCTACTGGGTGCTGGGTTTATTTGTGATCTTTTATCCCTCTTAGGTTTTTATACGCTAAAAACAAACTTTTGAAAGGTGATAAAGATAAAAGCAAATGAAATAAAAAATGTATTCCAATGCTTTCAGAAAAGTTATAAATTCGAAACTTTTACATAAAAAAACTATTAGACAGTTGTGGCATGAACACTTAAACCACTACACATAAATACAGAATTTTTAATTCATAAAGAATAAATGAGATAGGAAATTTATCATTATGAGTAAAGAAAAAGAGAAATAATATTGATAGAATAAAAAAATAGACATGAAAAAGACATCTGGGCTTTGAATAATTTTCCCCCAAATCTAGCATCTTTTTCAAATTAGCTTATTGGTTTATGTGTCATGTAATAATTGTGACTAGTGATCAATGAACTTTTAAAAAGTATCAGTAATAACTAAAGGAAACATCAGGCACTTCAGCCCTTATTCTCAAACTCCGCAGAGGTTTTCGCCTCGGGCCACAGGTTTCAGGCAAATCATCATTCTCCTCATGGCACTTCACAGCTTCAAAGGAAGTACCATCTCCCAAGACCGAACTCTGTCAGCTGAACCTATCAAGTGCCAGTACATGCCGTTACCCAATAAACGCATCTTTCCAATTGTAATAAAAATCTAAAATTTCAAATGAATAAAATCCAAAATGTTGAGTTCACTGAATTTCCCTCGCTACTTCTCTAATAGCAATCAAGTAGAAAGACTGTTCATCTTTCTAACCAAACAGAATGAGTTCAGTTGCTATTGAGGAAAACTTCTGGACTTGTAGACAAAGACAAAGGCTGCAAGTGTGCATAAGAAGTATCTTTTCTCTCTCTCTTGTTGCAGAGCTAGAGACTGAGCTGAGGGGCCTGCACAGTCTACATAAGTGCTATACTACTGAGACTCTGAAACTCAGCCTAGAAATATTTTATATGAAAATAAAACCCAGAAAATACTAAATGGAAGTTAGTTCTTATTCCAGTAGGATCAACAATCCAATGCCAGGGGTAGAAGCAACCTTAAAAATTATTCAAGTCACTGCTCTCTTACATGTAAGTGAAGTCATGGTAAAATATGCTCAAGAAATCAAGAATAAAGTTCAAATTTGATATGAAACAAACATAATCAGTGTCAGTACACCGCATTTCAAAACAGGAAAAATAAATATAAGTACTTACATTAAGAAGCAACTCATCTTTTGTTTTAAGAGGAAAATTCTTGTTTTCCTTCTCAACTTGTAAATCATCTTCTCCATCTGATAGCACAGGAGGCAGTGAAATACAGGACGAAGATGACGAGGAGGAAGATGAGGAGGAAGAGGAAGAGCTTGAACTATCTGAATCTGTTTCACTGTGGGGAAAAGAGTTAAAAACTTGGTCAATTATTACAATGGTATAATTATTCAACTAGGAAATATGTACTTTACCTTGTTTATTACTGCTGGTCTAATTAAAAAAGGAACATTTTTTTGATTGCCATAATACTGGAGTAGTAGGCTTTGGCTCACCAGTAACATACTCAAAACTCTTACTCTTCCTGCTCAGTGTAACATGACTAAGTATAAGAGAAGAAAACTCCAGATGACACTTAACTGCCAATAGTGGCTTCCATTTCAGGCAACCTAGAAAGGAATGCATTACCAACTATATTGCTTGTTCTCTTTGGCCTCTGACTTCCCACAGAAATAGTAATATGGTCCCCTATTTCAGTCCATTTAACATGATTTTTGTTTGTTCTAGGCTTGCTTTTGGCAGTACTGGGGATTGAATCCAAGGCTCCATGCTTGTTAGTCAAGTGCTCTGCCACTAAGCTACATCCCCAGTCCTCTTTTAAAAAAAAAAATTTGATGGGGTCTCAGTAAGTTGCCTTAGCTAGCCTTACATTTGTGATTCTCCTACTTTAGCCTCTGGAGCTGAAGTAATAGGCACAAGCCCCCCCCCCCCCAATCTTGTACCTTGACAAAGCTAATATCGACCCCAATCTTAGACGGCATAATTAATCTGCATGAATGACACACACAAACCTCACACTTCCAGTAAGCTAAAGACAAAACAAAAGAAAGGTGCATTCTCCTTTCTGGACTGCTTCACTTTTCCTTGAGCTATTTGATTTCACGGCTTAGTTCTCAATCCAGTCACTGTAGGTGTTACCCTGGCATCACATTAAGACAACTGCATATTCAGGTCAATAACAAATCTTCTCTTCAAACTGGTAATCAGTACTACTCCTTATCTCCTTTCCACTGCTATTTCAGGCTCCCATCTATTATCTACTTTGTATAACAAGTACCTGTATAATTAATAGTGTAAATAATTTCTCCTCAGGTAATCACTCCATGCCACTGCTGTTACTTTAACTTTCTCAATACTTTTCTAATCATTTTATGCTCCTGCTTTAGAAGAATTGTACGTGTCTGGATATTGAAGAGAATTATTAATTTCACATATGCTAAGATTAACAGAAGTCCTCTGTGAGAATGAATGCTAAAATATTTAAAGACAACGTGCCATGGTGTCTGCAAATGACTAAAATGACTTGTATTAAGTAAGCTATGTTTCAAAGTTAAAAACTGTTAAATCAAGGTTAATAGCTGTATGGTTTGCACTGTTTCTTCCCACTGTTTACAAAGAAATACTGAAGCATACTCTGCGTACAATTCAACTTAGACCATCTGCAGTCAGGTTCCTGGTCACCGTGGAGAGCATATCCACCACTTCTCACACAGAGGCTATGTCTGGCATACAGGCTGAGATGACTTCCCAGTTCCCCTTGTACTTTCACTGCCACATGCCATTGTCTCCGCAGTTTTCTTTGCCCACAAAACTTCTGCTCTTCTTTATAGGCTCCAATCAAATAGTACCTTCTTCAAAGAGCACTCTTAAACTACTACTACAGTCTGATACTATACTAGAATGTCTTGAAAACCATGCTGAATGACCCAGAACCTAAAACCAGACCCTGCATGTACATCAAAACACTGCCCAGATAAGTAGGCAGAAGGCTGCAGCCCTTTTCACTTTCTCAAACACCTGGTGCCTTCTTCCACCATCCAGCCCAACACTAAACCGTTCTCACTATATAACCCAATCGCTGCCTTCCAAACCGTACACAGGTCACCTACACTTACTTCGCCTTCCCAATGACCTGTGCACAGAAGTCGAAGATAATCTTAGAATTGCCAATAAATCAAAGTGACTTACTTTAGAGTTTGCTTACTTCTCCTGCCCAGCTATGCCGATTCTCCTTCTCTGCTCAGATCCTTTATCCTTCTGAATTCCCACTAATGGTGGATGATTTCCCCCTAAAACTCCTTAGTATGTCTTCTGGCTCACCTGGTCAGTAACCCTCCCCTAACACACTCGAGTACTGGTAGACAATGTTCAGTGTGTTTCCTAACATGCCACGCACTGGAGTCTTATCCCAACACAAGAGGGTAAGGGGCACGGGAGAGGGGATGGGAGTTGGGTACTGTTAAAATAATCCCTTTTCTGATCCTTATTCGGTTCATCAAAACAAAACTACATGCTAGACTAGACGGGAAAAAAATTCAGGCGGGACAAAGAACTCTAAAGTCATAACCACAGGGATGATGCGCCCAACAGTCCTCACTGAAATGGCCTCATCACTTCATCCTATATTGTAACTAAAAATTGTACACAGAACCTTTCAGGCCACCCAAATTAGGAAAGAGTGGAGCGTCGCGGGTCTCAATCGCATTCACAGCGCGCTTCCCGGGGAAAGGTGGCGAGCCAGGGACCTGCAGGCGCGTGCCCACGTGCCCCCGGCCTCGCCCCGCCCCCGCCGGCTCCCGGCCCCGGATTCCCACACTCGCGGACACCCGACCTGTCGGAGTCGGAGTCCGAGTCGGAGTCGGAGGCCTCCAGGCAGCCCGCGCCCGCGCCGCCGCGCCCTCGGGACCCCACTTCTGGCAGCGGCGCGGGGCTCCCGCCGGCCTCGGCGCCCAGCGCGGGCTGCGGCTGCTGCTCCCCGGCAGGCTGGGCCCGCACGGCCCGCTCACTCTCTCCCTCACTCGGCCGCGGCCCTGGCGTAGGTGCCGGGTCCGGGGACGGCGCCGTCGCAGCTTCGCCAGCCCCAAAGCCGATGCCATTGAACTTCAGGGTTTCCAGCTGAGCAGCGGCGGCCTCCACTACCTCCATCGAGCCGCGCCGGGCGTCCGAAGCTGCCTCACGTTTCTGGGCCTACCGACTCCCGTCCGCGGAAGACACAGCCGCCTCCGCAGCGGGCGCGACAGCCTCTGGGCCGAACCACCGGCGTTCACAAGCAACTACACGCGGAGCGGAGCGGTCGCGAGACACGCCCCCGAGCTGCCCGGGGCACTTCCGGGAGAGCGCGTGACGTCACGGGCGCGACGGCGAGACAGCGCCCAGTGGGCGGGGCGGAGCCCCAGGACCTTGAAAGCCGGCCTCGAGAGGTCCTAGCTCCGCCGATTTCGTGACAGCCTGGCAAGTAGTCCCACATTGTAAAGGCCAAAGCACTCTTCTTCTATAGATGTGTCTGAACTAGTTATCCTGGACCTGCCCGTATTGGCGATCAGAGGACGGGAGAGATACCCGAAGCGTTCTAGATTCCGTATATCAGAATCCTGAGCCAAAAAGTCTTGAAAAAGTTACTTACACTACTTTCCTTGAAGTTAAGTGAGATTAAGTTGACAGATCTATGGACAGAAAATGCATTTACAAATCATCTAAGAAAGTGAAAAAACGACAGCTCTGTTTGCTTTCTCCGAAGCCCCGTGAAGGAGAGTAAAGGTGCAATGTTGATGCTTCTTGTGGTCATATTATATCCTATTTGACACAGCTTCGTAGAAGTATGGGCTCCCACTAAAATGTATTAGCTTAACCTGGGAACCCAATCTAGAATGCACAGAGGGCAAGCAAAAAGTTCTCACGAAGAGGAAGGCATCAGAATTTTCTGGTCTCATATTAAACCTACAATTTGATTTGTTGGTCTCTCTAACTCATTGGTACTGTTCGCTATGCATGTGTTTGTCTCAAGGACTGTGCTATTTTTAAAAAATGAATTATTCACTGGGAAGTTATTGTGAGTCACCCACAGCACTATATTTTCCTTTTAATTCAAGTGTGGTGTGCTTGCCCCCAAGCATCCGCTGAGTAATTGGGTACAACAACCAACAATGCCAAAATTTGAGGTTGCTCACATCCCTCATACAAAATGGGTGTAAGGATAGCATTTGAATATAACTTGAACCAACTCACCTGTATACTTTAAATCACCTCTAGGTTATTTGTAATACCTGAAACAATGTAAGTGCTAGGTCATTTAGCATGGTTTTCAAGACATTCTAGTATAGTACCAGACTGTAGTCGTAGTTTGAGAGTGCTAAGTTGCACTGTGCTGTTTAGAAAATGACAAGGAAAAGTTTATGTTCAATATGAACACAATTTAAACCCATATACTTTCATTCAATGGTTGGTTGAATCCATGACTGTGGAATCTATGAATACTGGTACATGTCACTTAACAGTATGTTCCAACAGCGCACTGGGACTTGTGACCTCGCCCAAGGACATTCAAGGGATGATGCTACCTTGACACAAATTTAACTTTCACAAACTTTAAAACTCATTCTTAAGAAATTTAAATTCTGTTTAGAAAGAAAATCTGGTCATTGACCTAGACTGAATTCCAGTATAAGACAGAAGAACGGATCCCTAAAATTTGAGGATGTTTTCTGGTAGAAACTCCTGGTCAGTCAGTCATTGAGACTCCCTGGCTGTGTGGTCCAGGCCAGTGCTTGAGCCATCATGTGGTGGTTTAAGACTCATTTTTGGCTCAACTAGAAGCAAGGGAGAAGCAGCTGCTAGGAGAGGTAGATAGCTAGGACCACTTGAAATCCCTGCCTCAACCCTGCAGAAGGTGTTATAAGAGTAGAATACTTAAACTGGTTCACTAAAGATAACCATTAATCTTTAAGCCCAAATGGGAACATTGAACAAAAATAAGATTATGTAAAATTCTTCTTCAAACCTTAATTTTTTTTTTTAAGCTAGGATCTCACTCTGTAGTTCAGGTTCATTAAGTGCTAGGATTACAGGCATGAGCCATCACATCTTCAAACCTTAATCTTTGTAGTAGCACTTAGAATATAATCTAGACTCCCTGCTTTAGTTTTCAGAAGTCTACCTGATCTTTATCTTCTGCCTTTATGCCCCATGCTCACTAGTCTGGATCTCCCTTCAGTTTATTAAACTCATTCTTCATGTGTGGAATTTTCATTATCCCTTTTGTCTTCATAATAGCATAATTTATTACTCATTTTACACATGTTTCTACTCAAATACAATATTCCAGAGAAAGCTTTCCAGACTGGCCATTATGTAGATTCCCCATGCCAGGCCTTCCCTAATTATTATCATGATTTTCTTTTTAGTAGTGCTTTTGGTTATATGAAATTACATTTATTTATTTATTTCTCTATTGTTTCTAGTTTCCCATATAATTTAAGTCTTTTGAACCCAGTATCTTTGTCTAATTCACAGTTTTTTATTTAGTTACTAGAACCATAACAAATCCTATAAATATATTTTGAATAGAAGAATAAAAGAAAAAATAAGAAAGCTTTAGCAGACCATCACAGAATGGAAGGTGCATTACAGATAATACCTAAGATGATACCAAAGGTCTTCATTCAGTATAACATTAACTCATTCAGTTTAAATTAATCTAAAAGGACCTAAGAGATGCTACTGCTGCAAATTAAAATCTTTCATTAGATGGAGATCTTTGGGTTTCAGTTCAAGAATAGCTGTGCCTATACCTAGTTTTGAAATAGGTCCCTCTTTCACAATTGGTAGTTTTCCTAAGTGCTTGAGTGTTTCTAAATGTCCTGAATCTACCTCCAGTACGTCCAGATCCTGCATGTCTACTAACAGCTGCTAACCTTAACCTGAAAAAATTTTCAGCATAAGGCTAAATCTAACAAAACTCTTTAATGTAGTGGCTGAGTAGGGCAACCCTACCTGTAATACCAGTCCTATAATCCCAAGAAGCTGAGGCAGAAGGATCCTCACAAGTTTCAAAGTCACCTAGGGGTACATGGTGAGTTCAAGGCCAGTCTGGAATATATAGCAAGATCCTATCTCAATAAATAAATAAACTAATTAATTAAATTAGAGACTGAATAGTTTATAGGATCACTATTAAAATTAAGAAAGAATTTACTTTAAAATTTATCAGTTAGAGCATAAATCACATTTCAAACTGAGCATTTAAAATAATATATTTCAAGGTACAGAAATACTTTCAGAAGAAAGTGATTTGAAAAATAACTTTGCAATTTGACCGTTGTCCATATAAATTAAGCAATGAAAAATTTGGCCAATAATAGAAAAGAAGAAAGCCTTTTTTCTACCTAGTTCTTAAGGCCATTTCTACTGTTTTATAGTGCCGTCCCCAACTCAAAGCATAGTGAAGAAAAACAGCTTGGCGTACCACAGGAAAGCGTGAAAATGCAAAATCTTTATCCACTGCACACCTCTAATTCAGAATCTTGTATT